ATGCCACGAAGTGAAGTGTCCGAACGTCATAGGGCGGGAAGCTGGGTGTGGGTGGTGGCGAAGAGTCGTTTGGAAATTTGGTAGAGCTTGAACCGGCCCCCCCACAAAGTGGGGGTATTGCCCGCCTCCTATGAAAACCCTGGCACTGGTGAGAACGGAGTGTCCCCACGTGCTAGTAATTGTTGTTGTTGTTGTTGTTGTTGTTGTTGTTGTTGTTGTTGTTGTTGTTGTTGTTGTTGTTGTTGTTGTTGTTGAACCTTAATTACTAAACAATTATTATTGTTGGACCCCCTATATTCGCCCTGGCGCTCTCGCCGAGGCGCCGGCCGCATTTCCTCTGAAATTGAGGCTCACGCTCAGGCGTTTTGGGGTTCCGCCAAAACCGGCCCCCCAACAACAACAACGCTCCGGCTCGAGACTTCCTCCTTTTTTACTCGGGCTCGGTGCTCTTGCTCGCCGCCGAGAGCGGCTCCCGGGCCGGACGCCCGGGTCGGCGCCCGAGCCGGCGCCCGGGCGCCGGAAAATCTAGTTCCGAGGCGGCACCGAAAAAAGGCCATTCCAATGCACATTTGAAAATGCTCTGCTTCCGGCGCCCGGGAGGGAGGCCGTCCGGGCCGATTCCGGAACTCGGGCCGGCACCCGGCCCGGCTCCCGGGCCGGACGCCCGGGTCGGCGCCCGAGCCGGCGCACGGGCGCCAGAAAATTGAGTTCCGAGGCGGCGCCGAAAAAAGGCCATTCCAATACACATTTTTCTTTCGAAATGTTGAATTCTGCTTCCGGCGCCCGGGAGGCCGTCCGGGCCGATTCCGGAGCTCGGGCCGGCACCCGGCCCGGCTCCCGGGCCGGACGCCCGGGTCGGCGCCCGAGCCGGCGCCCGGGCGCCGGAAAATCGAGTTTCGAGGCGGCGCCGAAAAAAAGCCATTCCAATACACATTTTTCTTTCGAAAATGCTGAATTTCTGCTTCCGGCGCCCGGGAAGCCGTCCGGGCCGATTCCGGAGCTCGGGCCGGCACCCGGCCCGGCTCCCGGGCCGGACGCCCGGGTCGGCGCCCGAGCCGGCGCCCGGGCGCCGGAAAATCGAGTTCCGAGGCGGCGCCGAAAAAAGGCCATTCCAATACACATTTTTCTTTCGAAAATGTTGAATTTCTGCTTCCGGCGCCCGGGAGGCCGTCCGGGCCGATTCCGGAGCTCGGGCCGGCACCCGGCCCGGCCGGCACCCGGCCCGGCTCCCGGGCCGGACGCCCGGGCAGTTCCGATCGCGCCGAAAAGAGGCCATTCCAATACACATTTTTCTTTCGAAAATGCTGAATTTCTGCTTGCGGCGCCCGGGAAGCCGTCCTGGGCCGATTCTGGAGCGGCTTTGGGCCGGACGCCCGAGCCGGCGCCCGTACGTGGTGCTTCTCTGCTTCTGGCGCCTGCGCAGCTTCCCGAGCCGCTTCTGGAACCATATCTGGGCCGGTCCAGCGATAGGTTTCCTGGATGTGCTGAACCATCAAACTTTTTGAGACTTCTGCGTCTCAAGGATAGGGAGAGAAGACATTAAAGGAGGATCAAAAAGCAACGTCGCTATGAACGCTTGGCTGCCACAAGCCAGTTCTACTTACTTGGACTACTACTACCGTTACCACTACTACTAGTGCTACAGCCGCAACAACAATATCATCAACTGCTGCTACTACAACTACTCATCCTTCCTCCCCCTCCTCCCCCTCCCTTCTCCTCCTCCCCCTCCCTATCTCTCTCATCTCCCCCTCCTCTTCCTCTTCCTCTCCCTTCTGAGATGCGGGGCATGCGCAAGGCGATTGCGAAGGCGATGTGCCGTCCGAGCTATGGATGTTGAAGTTCCTCGGAAGAGGTGGTGGCCAAACCTTCTTGGGCGGGATATCTGGGTGAGGGAATATCGGATCCCGCATGCCAGAAAAATCCCCCATGATGGGGTGTGTTATCCAGATGGATGCATGTGTCATGTGGAAGCATGGCGCATGAGGGTAAAATGATTGTTGTTGTTGTTGTTGTTGTTGCTGTTGCTGTTGCTGTTGCTGTTGTTGTTGTTGTTGTTGTTGTGGTTGTTGTTGAACATTCTTAATTCTAAAGAATAATTATTGTTGGGGCCCCTGGTGCGCGCCCCCCCCGCCGCGCCTAGGCCGCAGCCACATTTTCATCATTTTCGTGAGGAAGTCTCAGGCAAAACGGGGTATACCAGATCCGGTTGTGTTGTTACGATCGGTTTTCCCTGGCAAAAAATAAGGCAAAGTGGACATTTCTTGTTCTAACATGACCAAACTTCAAGAATCCCTTGCAAAAAATAAGGTAAAGTGGACATTCGCGCGCGCAAGACGAAATCCTTCCAAAACCTTAGTGTTCGTAGCGATTTTAACATAAAAACATAAAAAACCAATGGTTTTTCAACAAAAAATGTCAAAATCTCATCCCGCGCGCTCTTGCGGATTCGTAGGAAACCCAACACTTTTTAAACATTTCTGTCAAACGGGCTTTTGCGAGCAACTTTTTCGAACTTCTGCAACAACGGTTGCGCACCTGCCAGGGCCATCATCCCTGTCAAATAATACCATGCGGGACACATTCGTTTTTTCTTCGCGCGCGCACGCCGTCGTCGTCGGCCGCGGGGCCCTGAATAGTAGCCACGGTCGTCCGCATGCCACGAAGTGAAGTGTCCGAACGTCATAGGGCGGGAAGCTGGGTGTGGGTGGTGGCGAAGAGTCGTTTGGAAATTTGGTAGAGCTTGAACCGGCCCCCCCACAAAGTGGGGGTATTGCCCGCCTCCTATGAAAACCCTGGCACTGGTGAGAACGGAGTGTCCCCACGTGCTAGTAATTGTGGTTGTTGTTGTTGTTGTTGTTGTTGTGGTTGTTGTTGTTGTTGCTGTTGTTGTTGCTGTTGCTGTTGCTGTTGCTGTTGTGGTTGTTTTTTGTGGTTGTGGTTGTGGTTGTTGCTGTTGTGGTTGTTGTCGTTGTTGTTGCTGTTGTTGTTGTGGTTGTTGTTGCTGTTGTTGTGGTTGTGGCTGTGGTCGTGGTTATTGTTGCTGTTGTTGTGGTTGTGGTTGTTGTTGCTGTTGTTGTGGCTGCGGTTGTTGTTGTTGTTGTTGATGTGGTTGTTGTGGTTGTTGTGGTTGTGGTTGTTGTGGTTGTTGTGGTTGTTGTGGTTGTTGTGGTTGTTGTGGTTGTGGTTGTGGTGGTGGTGGTGGTGGTGGTGGTGGTGGTTGTGGTGGTGGTTGTTGTTGTTGTTGTTGTTGTTGTTGTTGTTGTTCTCTTTCATTCTCGGCGGGGACCATCGAGGAGCATCCTGGGCCATCTTGCGAACGGGGAATGGGCGTCGGAGCGATGGCGAGTACAGGTCCTCCTGGCCTCCCCACCCTCCTCGCGCTGCAACAAGCATCACGACGGACAGTTTGGCCACTCTCGGCCTCCAGGGGGCCCTAGCCGGGCACCAGGACCGCCAGAACAGGACCAAAACAAGGTCCAGGGAAAATGATTATTTTGAAGCAGTGGCGAAGCGTCCTGGCTCGCCTATTGTCCCACCAAACCATGTCCTGAGAGCCTTTTATGGTCTGCCCGAAATGTTCTCAGGACATGTTGTCAGAACATGGTTTCTGTCCTTCGAACATTTTGGGGCTCTAAGAAGATTCCGTGGTAGGTCTGTGGGAATGCCGGGCCGGTCGGTCCCCGCTCAACTATCGCTCTGGGGGTGCACTTTCCGAGAAGATCGCGTCGGTGGAGTTTTGGGGCTCCGCGGAGAGGGCGCAGCCACCATGCCAGGGCCCAAGACGGACCTAGCCAGGCACGGCTGTGGCGTGCAGGTGCCTCTGCTCAACTGTCGTGTCACGGGTGGGCACAGAATGTGGCCACGGACTTGTGCTCGCTTGCCATGAAGTCAACCTAATGTCTTGAAATCCACGCATGCCTTGCGCCCGCCCGCCCGTTCCATGCTAGTGATTATCGGCGGCGAGCGAGGGGGGGAAGAGAGAAGGGCAAGGCCTTCTCAGAAGGCGGCGGGGCTTCTCAGGAACCCTCGCGCCCTCTGAGAAGTGTTCAGTGTCTTCGGGGAAGGCTTAGACAACTTCTCAGAAGGCCGGGGGACGTCGAGCCTTCTGAGAATGCCTTCTCCTCCTCACCTCCCCCCTGGGCCCGCCGCCGAGATTAGCGTGGACGAGGACGGACGGGCGCTGGCCCGACTTTTTCCCAGAGGCTCACTGTCCTCTGCTAGTCGTTTCACCTCTGTCGGAGGCACCCCGACCCCCCTGCGCAGTGCCCTCGCTGCCTCCAGCGGGCAGAGAGCGAGCCCCTGGCCGTGCGCACCCTCCCTGCTCCGAAGATGGCGGCGCAGCTCCTGCCTCCGCTGTCCGGCAGTGCAGTCCAGAGCCTCCCCCCTCTCACCCCTTCCTCCTTAATGCCTCCCTCAGTTCCGTCTGTTCGGATGCCACTCCTTGGAGGTCAAATCCTGTTTTTGCCCTGGTCCGAAATCCGGCCTAATCCGGGTGAATCCGGCTTAATCCCGCTCAATCCGGCTCAATCCCGCATAATCCGGCTTAATCCGAGGCCCACTCCGGCATAACAGCCCCCCAACGGGGCTTAATCCTCCTTAATTTTTTCCGACGAAAGCCTCCCAGTAGTTGCCTCCTAACGTCTGTCAGGCGATCGCAAACATGGATTATTAAGGGGGCGTGGATTAGCGACTGACTGGTCCCGTTTCCATGGCTAATCGCGGATTTCCGCCGCCGAGCGAGGCGGCACTGGCCGCATTTTGGGGAGGGCACTTCCCCCGATGCATGTTTGCCCGCCCCCGATTCTGGTCTGCTAAAACCCCCCTGAAGCCGCCTACATCCAACCCGAAAGCTTGCCTTTCTTTTATCCCCCTCATCCTTGACGTGGAACCTGGACTTCTCCTTGGTTCACCCTTGTCACGATTTCGAGGCGGATCCAGCTGTCGTGACCAGTGTGGTCCTGAAAGGGGCAAGGAAGGATCAAGGAGGAGGATGTGGAGGAGTTCAAGCCATTTTGGCTCAAGGCAATTGCGCAGGAGGAGGAGGAGGAGGAGGTGCGATGCCTTGTCTTTTCTTTTCGGATGCTGGACATCGGTCGAGGGTCTCGAGAAGGCGCTATTTCCCTCGGAGAGTCGATCAATAATTGCGGCCGGACAACACAATGGAGCGCAGCACTGCGGTTGCTCCGCGAAGGAATTCGATTGGGTGCGCAACTTGTCCCAAGCCACTACGTTGCGACTGTCAGCGCATGCAGAAAAGGTGGGCAATGGCAACACGCGCTGTCAGTACTAAGCGAGATGTGGGAGGCGAAGCTGGAGCCCAACGTCATCTCTTCTACAATGCAGGGGTCCGCGCGTGCGAGAAGGTCCTCTGTGTTGAGTGCCATCCCGGGCCCTCCAGGGCGCAGATACCCAAAAAACGGCCTCGGGACGGCTCCGAGAGGCTCCAGGTGGCGCCAAGACGGCCTCAGAGCACCCTTGGGAGCCCCAAGACAGCCTTAGAGGCCCCCAAGGCAGGCCAGGAGGCTCCCAAGACGGCCCAGGAGGGCCTCCAGGAGAGCCCCAAGAGGCCAAACTCGTCCCATTCCTGATGCGAAATGCACATTTTCACTATGTTCCGTTTTTTCGTCCTCACAGCGTCCAAGACGGCTATACAGGCCCTCCGCCTCGCCCCAAGACGCGCCCAGAGGCCCCCAAAGGGCTCCACACGGCCCCGGGACGGCTCCAGAGGCGCCCGAGATGGCCCAGGACGCACCCAAGACAGCCCCAAGACTGTCCCAAGAATGGCCAACGGGACGGCTCCGAGAGGCTCCAGGGGGCGCCAAGACGGCCTTAGAGCACCCTTGGGAGGCCCAATACAGCCTTAGAGGCCCCCGAGACAGGCCAGGAGGCTCCCAAGACGGCCCAGGAGGGCCTCCAGGAGAGCCCCACGAGGCCCAAATCGTCCCATTCCTGATGCGAAACGCACATTTTCACTATGTTCCGTTTTTTCGTCCTCACCGCGTCTAAAACGGCTATACGGGCCTCCCAGCTCGCCCCAAGACGCGCCCAGACGCCCCCAGGAGGGCCCCCAAAACGGCCCCACACGGCCCCGGGACGGCTCCAGTGGCGCCCAAGACGCACCCAAGACTGCCCCAAGAGCAGTTCATAATGGCCCAAGACGGCCCCCTCCATCCCGTCTCCAAGACGGCTGTAGAGGCCCCCACCGCCCCGCCTCCAAGCCTTTCCGTTTGGACAGTCTCCAAGACTGTCTTTGGGCCGTCCGGGACGGGTCCAGAGGCGCCCGAGACGGCTCAAGAAGTATCGAAGACAGCCCCAAGTGCGCCCAATATTTGCCCAAGATCGCCCCAAGGTTGTCCCAAGATGGTCCGAGAGGCGCCCAAGACGGCCCCACATCGCCCCAAGACGGCCCAAGACCCATTCCGAGAGACCCCCAGAGAACGAAAAGAGGCCCCCAAGCGGCCCCCAAGAGGCTTTGGATGCTTCTCCCCGGGGGAGCGTCGAACTTCCAGCATCGTGTTGGGGGCTTCTTGGACCTTCTGGGAGCCATCTCTGCGCCATTTTAGGACGTCTTGGGCGGTGCGCTCGAAAGGTCGATTCGTGTCCTCGCACTGGGGCCCGTCTTCGGGAGTTCCATCTCGCCGCCCTCCTGCGGACCTCCTAGCCCGCGCCCACTGGCCCCATTGTCACCACACTGCTAGATAAAATGATCATTCCGCTCCGGCGAAGAGCAGGTAAATGATCACTGCTACCCTCCCTGCAGAAGCCATGATGAACACAGACTGCGGCGTCAGAAACAGGTTCTGTCCACACCATGTCATGCTTATATGGGTGTGTGTGTGTGATTCCACTCTCCCCCTCCAGCGGCCACCGTCTCCATCCACGCCGTCCCCTCAAACCTCCCAGTATCCGCGAGGCCCCGGAGACGCTCCACTTCCACGTCGACGCCATGGCGGGCAAATTCCGCGGCAGGAAGGCCGCGGGTCAGCCCTAGTCATCTCTGCAACATGGCCTGTGGAAGCGCGCGCGAGAAGCCCAGGGCCTCAAGTGCACAAAATCGCTCCTTTCGGCGCCACCACGCGGCCGAATTGCTCAGGCCGGTCCCAGAGGCGCGCCCGAGGGGTTCTCAGACCGTCCAAGAGCGCTCCAAGACGGCCTCAGTGGGTCCCGAGACGGCCCACGAGGGCCCGAAGCCTTCCAGGGGGGGGGCTCCACGACGATCCAAGAGGCCGCAAAGACGCCCCAAGAGGGCCCCGAGCGCACGCCAAAGAGGCACAAATCGTCAAATTCCCATGGGGAAGCGAAAATTTTCAGCATGCCCGCCTTGTGTGCTCCTCAGCGGCCCAGGACACGCCAAGAGGCCTTCCAAATCGCCCCAAGAAGACGCCAGCGGCCCCTCAGAGGGCTCCAAGACGGCCCACAAAGAGCCCCAAGACGACGCCAGAGAGCCCTGAAACGACTTCACAGAATCCCCCCAAGAGAGCTCCGAGGGGGGCCCCAAGAGGCTCCCAAGACGGCCTCAGGCAGCCTGAAGAGAGCTCCAAGACGGTCCAAGGCCCCCCAGGACGCCCCGTGACGGCCCAAAATGGCCCTAAGACGTCCCAAAACGCTCCCAGAGCAGCCCAACAAAGCTTCAGAATGGCCCGAACAAGACCCCCACAAGGACCACCAAGCAGGCCCAGAGACGCCCATTAAAATAGCGATCGGTGAAGTACAAAGCTCTTCTCACCAAGGCTTCCAAGAGCGGGCCGCAGGCCCTGGTGCGCTTCGAAGATGGCCAAAGAGCGCTCCGAGACGCCCCCGGAGGCCCCCAAGAGGGCCCCATGGGGGCCCAAGACCGTCCGAGAGAGACTCCAAGGCGCCCAAGATTCCTTCTACAAGGCTTCAGACGCCTCAGGAACGTCCCGACGGGGCACCGAGAAGGGCCCCGAGAGGCCCGAACAAGAACAAATCGTCACAATCCCCAGGGAAACGTTGCATTTTTGTAATTCCCGTGCTTTTCGTCTCCGACATTTCCACGACGGCCATACAGGCTCCCAAGAGTGTTTCAAGATCCCCCAGGACAGCCGCATGAGGGCCCCAAGACAGTCCAACTCAGTATCCGGACGGCTCCTGAGGCGCTCATGACAGCCCACGAGGCATCCAAGGCAGCCTCAAGAGCTGCCCTAGACGGCCCAAGACGGCGCCAAGACGATCTTTAGACGGCTGCAGAAGCCGAAAAGCTCCAAATTCCGACGGCCGACGATCTCGAGAGCGTCCAGGAGGCCGGAAGAAGCTCCGAGAAGCTCCCAAGCTATCCCTAGGAGAAGGCAGCGCCCGCCTTCCTGTTTCTACAAGGCAAACAAAACAGCTTCCAGAGCCTGCGAGCCGTACCCCGGACACGCTTCGTGGCCGCATCCGGACCGCTGCCCTTCTCCGTGGGTGCGGGCGCCCGCCGTCGCGCTTCACCCAGGCCACTGGGAAGAATTCGCTACAGCTTTCCGGGCGTACCCCGCCCAAGGATCTCCGCCGCACATGGATCGCTGCTCTTCTCCGTGGGTGCGGGCGCGAGAGTGCGAAGGTATGCGCGTATGGCACGGAGCCGCGCTGTGCAGGCGCACCAGGGGGACCTGAAGGTCGTGGGCGAAGTCCACGGGTTCGCACTAGTCAGCTACAGCGCTGGGATCAGCGCGTGCGAGAAGGGCGAGCAGTGGCAGGGGGCCCTGGCGCTGCTGAGCGAGATGTGGGAGGCGAAGCTTGAGCCCGACGTCATCTCTCCTACATGGCCAGTGGAAGCGCGTGCGAGAATGTCTCAGGGCCTCGTGTTCACAAAATCTCCCCTTTACGGCGTCACCACGGGGCCGAATCGCTGAGGCCACTCCCAGAGGCGCTCTGGAGGGGTTCCCAGACCGTCCAAGAGCGCTCCAAGACGGCCTCAGTGGGTCCCGAGACGGCCCACGAGGGCCCGAAGCCTTCCAGGGGGGGGCTCCACGACAATCCAAGAGGCCGCAAAGACGCCCCAAGAGGGCCCCGAGCGCACGCCAAAGAGGCACAAGTCGTCAAGTTCCCATGGGGAAGCGTATATTTTCAGCATGCCCGCCTTGTGTGCTCCTCAGCGGCCCAGGACACGCCAATAGGCCTCCCAAATCGCCCCAAGAAGACGCCAGCTGCCCCTCAGAGGGCTCCAAGACGGCCCACAAGAGCCCCAAGACGACGCCAGAGAGCCCTGAAAGGGCCTCACAGAACCCCAAGACGGCCCCAAGAGAGCTCCGAGGGGGCCCCAAGAGGCTCCCAAGACGGCCGCAGGCAGCCTCAGGAGAGCTCCAAGACGGTCCAAGGCCCCCCAGACGCGCCGTGACGGCCCCAAATGGCCCTCAGACGTCGCAAAACGCTCCCAGAGCAGCCCCCCAAAAAAGCTTCAGAATGGCCCGAACAGGACCCCCACAAGGACCACCAAGCAGGCCCAGAGACGCCCAGTAAAATAGCGAGCGGTGACGTACAAAGCTCTTCTCACCACGGCCCCGAGCCGGCGCAGGGAGCTCTCCCAGGCACAGCTCCCAAGAGCGAGCGGTGACGTCGGGACGCCCCTCCGACCTCGCACACAGGAGCACGCACGCACAGCACGCAAGCACAACAGATTTCCTGGGCTGTCCCCCGGAGGAGGCTCGGGGGGACAGCCCGGGAACGGCCCCAGAGGCGCCCCAAACAATTTCAAGAGAAAAGGCCCCCAGGAGGCCGCAAGACGGCCCAAGAGGGCCCCAAGAGGCCCCTAGGAGGCCGCAGGACAGCCAACGAGGCCCTTACAGGCCCCCAGGAGCTCGAAAAGAAACCCCGAGAGGCCCACTGACCGTTCCCAAGGAGACGGCAGTGCCCGCCATCAGGCTTCGAAGAGGCAACCAGAAAAAAGTCACCAGAGCCCTCCAGGTGACTTTCTTCAAGGCCCCAGGTGCTTTCAAAAATTGACAAGCGGCGAGACGTACACCGCAGGCCCACCATAGCCGCCTGTGACGCTCCGAAGGCTGTCTAGGCGGAGGTAGAACGGACGGCGGACGAAGAGAAGGAAGCGGTCCAAGAGGGCCTCCGAGACGGCCCAACACCGCTCGAAGACGCTCCAGACGAGCCGTGGCAAACGAAATCATTGATTCTTCTATGGTTTCTGAAAGATTTCCACCTTCTCGCCATTTCGAGCGAAGACAGGCCCAAGACGGCCTTTTCGAGTCAAGAGTGGCCCAAGATGACGTGGACGAAGTCCACGGGTTCGCCCTAGTCAGCTACAGCGCTGGGATCAGCGCGTGCGAGAAGGGCGAGCAGTGGCAGCGGGCCCTGGCGTTGCTGAGCGAGATGCGGGAGGCGAAGCTGGAGCCCAATGTCATCAGCTATAATGCTGGGATCAGCGCGTGCGCGAAGGGCAAGCAGTGGCAGCGGGCCCTGGCGCTGCTGAGCGAGATGTGGGAGGCGAAGCTGGAGCCCAATGTCATCAGCTACAGCGCTGGGATCAGCGCGTGCGAGAAGAGCGAGCAGTGGCAGCGGGCGCTGGCGCTGCTGAGCGAGATGCGGGAGGCGAAGCTGGAGCCCAATGCCATCAGCTACAGCGCTGGGATCAGCGCGTGCGCGATGGGCGAGCAGTGGCAGCGGGCGCTGGCGCTGCTGAGCGAGATGTGGGAGGCGAAGCTGGAGCCCAATGCCATAAGCTACAGCGCTGGGATCAGCGCGTGCGCGACGGTCAAGCAGTGGCAGGGGGCGCTGGCGCTGCTGAGCGAGATGCGGGAGGCGAAGCTGGAGCCCGACGTCATCAGCTACAGCTCTGGGATCAGCGCGTGCGCGGAGGGCGAGCAGTGGCAGCGGGCCCTGGCGCTGCTGAGCGAGATGCGGGAGAAGCTGGAGCCCGACGTCAACTCTTCTACAACGCCGGGACCGGCGTTCGCGGATGTCCGAGTCGGTGCAGCGGACTGGCCCCCCCCTTCGGGCCGCTCCGGGCAGGCCTCCGGGACCCCGGGCCGCTCTGGGCGGCTGGCGGGGCCATCGCGGTGCCGCGATCGCGCAGCGGTTCCAGGTGGCCGAGGCGGCCCCCCAAGACCGCCCTAACACGGCCCGAAATTCCCCCAAGAGAACTCCAAGACGGGCCAAGGGAGCCCCAAGACGGCCCCGGAGAGCTCCCCGACGGGCCCAAGAGGGACCCGAGAGCGCCCCAAGAGGCTCCCAAGAGAGCCCCGAGGGGGCCACAAGGAGGCACCCAAGAGAGACCAAGAAGGCTCCAAGGTGGCCCCTGGACGGGCCGAGCCCTGTGAGACGGCTCAAGAGGGCCCCAGGATGACCCAAGAGAGCCCTCAGACGGCCCGAGAGAGCCCCATAAGGATCCCTCAAGATCCTCCGAAGAGAGACCCAGGTGATCAGGTGGGCCACGGGATGCGCCGCCAAGCGCTCTGCACGGGGAGCGCTCTACACGGGGACGCCGTAGGGCACGCTCCTCCGCGAGGACGTCGCGACGTGCGCTCGCGAGGACGTCGCGACGTGCACGCCAGACGGCGTCCTGCCGAAGGCGCGCTGCCGGGCTGCCGCCCACCGTTGAGGAGGACGAGGACGAGAAGAAGGTAGAGGAAGACCGAGAGAGGATGGTGTAGGGGTGGGGGGCTGATGCTGGGGGTGGAGGTAGTACGTAGCAGGTGGCAGGTAGAAACACCGGGGGTGGGGGGGTTTGGGTTCGTTGGGTGTTTATACGATGGAATGAATTAGTAGGGTGCCATTAGTAGGAGGTAGTTTGATTCTTATTATGATGAATGCGGTCTTCGTTTTCTTCTATTTTATTGAGTATATTATTATTATATTGGATGATTCTTATTATTTAATTCATGATTTAATTCTTCACGTAGAAGTAGTATTCTTATTATTCGATTATTTATAACTATATTTTAATTCCTCTTTATTTTCGTATTAATTATTGTTCTTCATTTATTGCTTCTTTTTTTTTTTTTTCTTAATGACTTTCATTTTATTATTATATTATTCTTCTTAATTATTCCTTCCTTATTATTATTATTTTTTATTTATTATTACATTATTTATAATTATTTACACACAAATCACAGTATTTCCAACACTTCCCCATACTTTCCTACAATCCGGAGTTCTCAGGGGACGCGTATGGGGCTCATCTTGGCTGCCCTTCCCTGCCAGGCCGCGCGCTCGGCGGTGGACCTCGTTGCCAACGCCTGTCGGCCGCCCGCCGATGACGACGACGACGACGACGACGACGACGACGACCACGACGACGACGACGACGACGACGACGACGACGACGACGACGACGACGACGACGACGACGACGACGACCCCGACGATCATGGCGACGACGACCCCCGCGATGACGACGACGACGACGATATCGACATCGACGACGACCCCCGCGACGACGACGAAGACGGCGACGGCGACGAGACGAAGCCGACGAGGGCGTCGGCGGCGACGACGACGTCGACGACGACGACGACGACGACGCCCCCCGACGACGACGGCGACGGCGACACGACGACGACGACGCCGCCGCCGCCGCCGCTCGCGGGGTGGCCCAGTGGCGTGACGATCTTCGTTCGAGCGCAGGAGTGCGATGCTTGTGGGGCGGGGTCGCCTTTGAAGCGTTACGGGGATGTGCGACCAGGAAGACTTTCGAAGACGGTCGAACGCGGCCGTCGTCGTCGTCGGTCGCTGAAAGTCGATCGGCGATGCGACCGGAAAAACTGTCTCCTTCTGTCTTGCAGGCCCGCCCCGCAGGCGCTGCCCTCCTGTGCTGCGACAGTGCTGATCCCCCCCGCGGGTGCGCGCTAGTCATCTGCAACGCTGGGATCAGCGCGTGCGAGAAGGGCGAGCAGTGGCAGCGGGCGCTGGCGATGTTGACCGAGATGCGGGAGGCGAAGCTGGAGCCCGACGTCGTCAGCTACAGCGCTGGGATCAGCGCGTGCGCGAAGGGCGAGCAGTGGCAGCGGGCGCTGGCGCTGCTGAGCGAGATGCGGGAGGCGAAGCTGGAGCCCAACGTCATCGCTTCTACAATGCAGGTGTCCGCACGTGCGAGAATTTCCTCTGTCTTGATTGCCTTCCCAGGCCCTCCGGGGCGCCCTCCGCGGCGCAAGTGCGCCCAAAACGACCTTGGGATGGTTCCGAGAGGCTCAAGGGGGCGCCACGACGGCCTCAGAGCACCCTTGGGAACCCCAAGACAGCCCCAGAGGCCCCCGAGGCAGGCCAGGAGGCTCTCAAGACGGCCCAGGAGGGCCTCCAGGAGAGCCCCAAGCGGCCAAAATCGTCCCATTCCCGACGGGAAGCGCACATTTTCACAATGTTCAGTTTTTCCGTCCTCGCAGCGTCCCAGACGGCTATACGGGCCTTCCAGCTCGCCCCAAGACGCGCCCAGACGCCCCCGAAGGGCCCCACACGGCCCCTGGACGGCACCACGGGCGCCCGAGACGGCCCAGGACGCACCCAAGACAGCCCCAAGAGCAGCCAAGAATGGCCAACGGGACGGCTTCGAGAGGCTCCAGGGGCGCCAAAACGGCCTCGGAGCACCCTTGGGGGCCCCAAGATAGCCCCAGAGGCCCCCAAGGCAGGCCAGGAGGCTCCCAAGACGGCCCAGGAGTCTCCAGGAGAGCCCCAGGATGACCAAATCGTCAGTCCCGACGGCAAACGTTCATTTCTTGCGTTTTCGTCCTCACACCGTCCCAGACGGCTACGCATGCCCTCCAGCTCACCCCAACACGCGCCCAGACGCCCCCAGGAGGGCCGCCAAACGGCCCCACACGGCCCCGGGACGGCTCTGGAGGCGCCCGAGACGGCCCAAGACGCGCCCAAGACAGGCACAATGGCCCAAAACGGCCCCACCGCCCCGTCTCTAAAACGGCTGTAGAGGCCCCCGCCGCCCCGTTTCCAAGCCTTTCCGTTTGGACAGTCCCCAAGACGGTGTCTGGGCCGTCCGGGACGGCTCCAGAGGCGCCCGAGACGGCTCCAGAAACACCGGAGACAACCCCAAGAGCGCCCAATTATGGCCCAAGATGGCCCCAAGACTGTCCCAAGATGGTCCGAGAGGCGCCCAAGACGGCCCCACATCGCCCCAAGACGGCCCAAGACGCACTCAAGACTGCCCAAGAGGGCTCCGAGAGACCCCCAGGAAGACGAAAAGAGGCCCCCAAGCGCCCCCCAAGAGGCCTTGGATGTTCCTCTCTTGGGGAGGTCGCACTTCCAGCGTCGTCTTGGGGGCTTCCTGGACCCTCTGTAAGCCATCTCTGTGCCATTTGGGGACGTCTTGCGGTGCGCTCGAAAGGTCGATTCGTGTCCTCGCACTGGGGCCCGTCTTAGGGCGTTCCGCCTCGCCGCCCTCTTGCGGGCCTCCTAGCCCGCGCCCCATTGTCAACACAACCATAAAACAAAAAAAAACCTCATTCTGCCCCGGCGAAGAGCAGAACAACTTCTCACGGCTACCCTCCCCGCAGAAGCTATGATGAACACCGGTTGCGGCTTCAGAAACAGCTTCTGTCCACACCATGTCATGCCTACATGGGTGTGCTTCCACTGACGCCGCCTCCACCACCACGTTCCTGCCTTCAGGCCTGGTTGCCTGCATCCCTCGCCCACCTCCCCCCCCTGGCGGCCACCTCCATCCACGCCGTCCCGTCCAACCTCCCCTTGCCTGCGAGGCCCCAGACACGCTCCACTTCTACGTCCACGCCATGGCGGGCAAATTCCGTGACCGGAAGGCCGCGGGTCAGCCCTAGTCTTCTCTACAATGCAGGGACCCGTGCGTGCGGGAAGTGTCCCTGTCTTGATGGGCGTAAAATGCCCCACAATGGCTCCGGGGACGCCCCAGAGGCGCTCACGCGGCCCCAGAGGCGCCCAGGACGGCCCCAGACACCCCCAAAACGGCCCAAGAGCGCTCCAAGAGAGCTCAAGACCGCCGAAAACGGTCCCGACAAGGCCCAGAGGCCTCCACGACGGCCCCAGAGACGCCCAAGAGGCGCCCCAGGATGGCCCCCACAGGCCCAAATCATTATTTTTCCGAAGAAAAGCATCCAATTTTAGCATACACTGCTTGTCGGGAGTATGGCGCAGAAGACGGGACAAGAGGTCCCCACGACCGCCCCAAGACGGCCCAAGAGGCCCCCCAGAGGCACGAAAACCGTCCCGCGAGAGCGTCAAGAGACCCAAGAGGCGTCCAACACGGCCCCCAGGCGGCCCCAAGAGGCTCCCAGGAGGCGCCCAGGACGGCCCCACACACCCCCAAGACGGCCCAAGAGCGCTCCATGAGAGCCCAAGACCGCCGAAAACGAACCCAAGAAGGCCCAGGAGGCCTCCACGACGGCCCCAGAGACGCCCAAGAGGCGTCCAAGGATGGCCCCAGAGGCGAAAATCATTGCTTTCCCACAGAAAATCGCTCACTTCTAGCATGCGCTGCTTGTCGGGAATATGGCGCAGAAGCTGGTTCCAGGTCCCCACGACCGCCCCAAGGCGGCCCAAGAGGCCCCCAAGACGCACGAAAACCGGCCCGAGAGGGCGTCAAGAGAGCCCAAGAGGCGCCCAAAACAGCCCCAGGGCGACACCAAGAGACTCCCAGGACGGCCCAAGGTATCCCCAAGACGCTCCAAGAGCGCTCCACGACAAGCCAAGACTGCCTCTTGCGGCGCCAAGACGGCCCCAGACGCCTCTACGACGGACCAAGGGACGCCGAAAACGCTTCCCAGGAGGGCTCCAGGAGGCCACAATTATCGCTTTCCCGAAGGGCCCAAGAGGCCACAATCGTCCCATTCCTGACGGGAAACGCACATTTTCACTGTATCTTGTTTCTTCGTCCTCGCAGCGTCCAAGACGGCTGTACAGGCCCCCCAGCTCCTCCCAAGACCAGCGGCCCCCAGGAGGGCCCCCAAACAGCCCCACACGGCCCCCGGACGGGTCCAGAGGCGCCCGAGACGGCCCAAGACGCACCCAAAACAGCCCCAAGAGCAGTCACTAATGGCCCACGGGACGGCTCCGAGAGGCTCCAGGGGGCGCCAAGGCGGCCTCAGGGCACCCCTGGGAGCCCCAAGACAGCCCCAGAGGCCCCCAAGGCAGGCCAGGATATCCCCAAGATGGCTCAGGAGGGCCTCCAGGAGGAGCCCAAAGGCCGAAATCGTCCCATTCCCTGCTGGAATCGCCCCAAGACGCGCTCAGAGGCCCTCAGGAGGGCCCCCAAACGGCCACTCACGGCCCCGGGACGGCTCCAGAGGCGCCCGACAGGGCCCAAGACGCACCCAAGACAGCACCACGAGCAGTTCATCATGGCCCATGACGGTCCCACCGCCCCGTCTCCAAGACGGTTGTACAGGCCCCCACCGCCCCGTCCCCAAGCCTTTCCATCTGCACAGTCTCCAAGACGGCTGTACAGGCCCTCAGATCGCCCAAGACGCTCCCAGACGCCCCCAGGAGGATTTCGAAACGGCCCGAGACGTCCCCGGGACGGCTCCAGAGGCGCCCGAAACGGCAAGGCAGCCCCAATAGCGCCCAATATCGGCCCAAGATGAGCCCAAGACGGCCCCAAGATGGTCCGAGAGGCGCCCGAGACGGCCCCACATCGCCACAAGACGGCCCAAGAGGCACTGAAGACGGCCCAAAAGGGCCCCGAGAGACCCCCAGGAGGCAAAACAAAATGCCCCCAAACTGCCCCCAAGAGGCCTCTGATCCTTCTCTCCCAGCGTCGTCTTTGGGGCTTCTTGGACCCTCTGTGAACCATTTCCGCGCCTTTGGGGGACGTCTTGGGGCGGTGCGCTCGAAATGGCGATTCGTGTCCTCGCACTGGGGCCCGTCTTAGGGAGTTCGTGGGGCCCTCTGGGGCCTTCTGAGAAGCCTCTTGGCCCGTCCTGGAGACCTTTTGGGCCGTCTCGCCGCCCTCTTGCGGGGCCTCTTAGGCCGCGCCCACCGGCCCCATTGTCACCACACTACCAGATAAAATTATTGTTCTGCCCCGGCGAAGAGCTGATACAATTATCACGGCTACCCTCCCCGCAGAAGCTATGATGAACACAGACTGGGGCGTGAGAAACAGCTTCTGTCCACACCATGTCATGCCTACATGGGTGCGCTTCCACACCGCCTCCACCACCGCGTTCCTGCCTTCATGCCTACTTGCCTGCATCGCCCCATCTCCTCCTCCAGCGGCCACCTCCTCCATCCACGCCGTCCCCTCCACCCCCCCTTCACCTGCCAGGCCCCGGAGACGCTCCACTTCCACGTCCACGCCATGGCGGGCAGATTCCGCGGCCGGAAGGCCGCGGGTCAGCCTTAGTCAGCTACAACGCTGGGATCAGTGCGTGCGAGAAGGGCGAGCAGTGGCAGCGGGCGCTGGCGCTGCTGAGCCAGATGCGGGACGCGAAGCTGGAGCCCGACGTCATCAGCTACAGCGCTGGGATCAGCGCGTGCGAGAAGGGCGAGCAGTGGCAACGGGCGTTGGCGCTGCTAAGCGAGATGCGGGAGGCGAAGCTGGAGCCCACCGTCATCAGCTACAGCGCTGGGATCAGCGCGTGCGAGAAGGGCGAGCAGTGGCAGCGGGCGCTGGCGCTGTTGACCGAAATGCGGGAGGCGAAGCTGGAGCCCGACGTCATCTTCTCTACAATGCAGGGACCCGTGCGTGCGGGAACGGTCCCTGTCTTGATGGAGTGAAACTGCCCCACAACGGCTCCAGGGACGCCCCAGAGGCGCTCACGCGGCCCCAGAGGCGCCCAGGACGGCCCCAGACACTTCCAAAACGGCCCAAGAGTGCTCCAAGAGAGCTCCAGACCGCCGAAAACAGCCCCGACAAGGCCCAGGAGGCCTCCACGACGGCCCCAGAGACGCTCAAGAGGCGTCCCAGGATGGCCCTCACAGGCCCAAATCATTGTTTTTCCAACGACAAACGTCCAATTTTAGCTCACACTGCTTGTCGGGAGTATGGCGCAGAAGATGGGACAAGAGGTCCCCACGACCGCCCCAAGACGGCCCAAGAGGCCCCCCAGAGGCACGAAAACCGTCCCGCGAGAGCGTAAAGAGACCCAAGAGGCGCCCAACACGGCCCCCAGGCGGCCCCAAGAGGCTCCCAGGAGGCGCCCAGGACGGCCCCCCACACCCCCAAGACGGCCCAAGAGCGCTCCAAGAGAGCCCAAGACCGCCGTAAACAAACCCAAGACGGCCCAGGAGGCCTCCACGACGGCCCCAGAGACGCCCAAGAGGCGTCCAAGGATGGCCCCCAGAGGCGAAAACGATTGTTTTCCCGAAGAAAACGGTCACTTTTAGCATGCGCTGCTTGTCGGGAATATGGCGCAGAAGCGGGTTCCAGGTCCCCACGACTGCTCCAAGACAGCCCAAGAGGCCCCCAAGACGCACGAACACCGTCCCGCGAGAGCGTCAAGAGACCCAAGAGGCGCCCAACACGGCCCCCAGGCGGCCCCAAGAGGCTCCCAGGAGGCGCCCAGGACGGCCCCCCACACACCCCCAAGACGGCCCAAGAGCGCTCCATGAGAGCCCAAGACCGCCGAAAACGAACCCAAGAAGGCCCAGGAGGCCTCCACGACGGCCCCAGAGACGCCCAAGAGGCGTCCAAGGATGGCCCCCAGAGGCGAAAACCATTGGTTTCCCGAGGAAAAAACGCTTACTTTTAGCATGCGCTGCGTGTCGGGAATATGGCGCAGAAGCGGGTTCCAGGTCCCCACGGCCGCCCCAAGACGGCCCAAGAGGCCCCCAAGACGCACGAAAACCGTCCCGCGAGAGCGTAAAGAGACCCAAGAGGCGCCCAACACGGCCCCCAGGCGGCCCCAAGAGGCTCCCAGGAGGCGCCCAGGACGGCCCCCCACACACCCCCAAGACGGCCCAAGAGCGCTCCATGAGAGCCCAAGACCGCCGAAAACGAACCCAAGAAGGCCCAGGAGGCCTCCACGACGGCCCCAGAGACGCCCAAGAGGCGTCCAAGGATGGCCCCCAGAGGCGAAAATCATTGCTTTCCCCCAGAAAAACGCTCACTTCTAGCATGCGCTGCTTGCAGGGAATATGGCGCAGAAGCTGGCTCCAGGTCCCCACGACCGCCCCAAGACAGCCCAAGAGGCCCCCAAGACGTACGAAAACCGACCCGAGAGGGCGTCAAGAGAGCCCAAGAGGCGCCCCAAACGGCCCCAGGGCGACACCAAGAGGCTCCCAGGACGGCCCAAGGTATCCTTTTTTTTCGGCACCCCTCACGGAGATCCTGGCCCCCTAGCGTCACAGATCGAGCCCTCCACCCAAAGACGCGCCGAAGTGGCCATAAGAGGCTCCAAGGAGCGCCCAAGAGGCCCCCAACAAGGCCCTAGAGGCCTCCAAGAGCCTCCAGCAGTCCTCCGAAGCATGCCCCCAGATGCCAAAATCCTTAATTGTTCAATTGTGTTTGAAGGAGTTTTGCCTTCTCGCCTTCTCGGCTAGCCGACGCTCCAAGACGGCCGCAGAGACCCACAAGACCGCCCCAGGACGGCCCAACAGGCCTCCAAGCGCGTCCCCAGACGGCCCAGCGAGCCCCAAGATGGCCCAAGAGGCCCAAGCCAGGCCCAAGAGGGGGCCAAAGAACGGGAAAAAAACCCTGGCATTCCGAGCCCTGGGCCCCCATACGCCCACACGGCCACAAGAGCGCCCCAAAACGCCCCGAGGAGGGCCCCCAAACGGCCCGAGTGCCCCGGGATGGCTCCAGAGGCGCCCGAGACGGCTTAAGAGACACCCAAGACAACCCGAAGAGCGCCCAATAACGGCCCAAGATGGCCCCAAGACGGCCCCAAGATGGCCCCAGAGGCGCCCAAGACGGCCCGACAGGGCCCCAAGACGGCCCAAGAGGCACTCCAGATGGCCCAAGAGGGCCCCGAGAGACCCCCAGGAGGACGAAAAACTGCCCCCAAACGGCCCCCAAGAGGCCTTGAATGCTTCCTGTTGAGGAGCGTCGAACTTCCAGCGTCGTCTTGGGAACTTTTTGGGACCCTCTGGGAGCCATCTCTAGGCTTTTTGGGGACGTTTGGGGGCGGTGCGCTCGAACGGTCGCTTCGTGTCCTCGCATTGAGGCCCGTCTTAGGGAGTTCGTGGGGCCCTCTTGGGCCGTCTTGGAAGCCTCTTGGCCCGTCCCGGAGACTTCTTGGGCCGTCTCGGCGCCTTCTTGCGGGCCTCTTAGGCCGCGCCCACCAGTCCCATTCTCACCGCACTACCAGATAAAATAATCATTCGGCCCTGGCGAAGAGCAGATACAATTATCACGGCGACCCGCCCCGCAAAAACTATGACGAACACAGAGCGCGGCGTGAGAAACAGCTACATCATGTCGTGCATGGGTGTGCGTCTATTGATACCGCCTCCACCATCGCGTTCCTGCCTTCAGGCCTGCCTGCCTGCGTCCCTCGCCTACCTCGCCCTCCAGCGGCCACATCCTCCATCCATGCCGTCCCCTCCACCCTCCCCTCACCCGCGAGGCCCCCGAGACGCTCCACTTCCACGTCCACGCCATGGCGGGCAGATTCCGCGGCCGGAAGGCCGCGGGTCAGCCCTAGTCTTCTCTACAATGCAGGGACCCGTGCGTGCGGGAAGGGTCCCTGTCTTGACGGGCGTAAAATGCCCCACAATGGCTCCGGGGACGCCCCAGAGGCGCTCACGCGGCCCCAGATGCGCCCAGGACGCCCCGACAAGGCCCCCAGAGACGCTCAAGAGGCGTCCCAGGATGGCCCCCACAGGCCCAAATCATTGTTGTTCCAACGAAACACGTCCCATTTTAGCACGCACTGCTTGTCGGGAGTATGGCGCAGAAGATGGGACAAGAGGTCCCCACGACCGCCCCAAGACGGCCCAAGAGGCCCCCCAGACGCACGAAAACCGTCCCGCGAGAGCGTCAAGAGACCCAAGAGGCGCCCAACACGGCCCCCAGGCGGCCCCAAGAGGCTCCCAGGAGGCGCCCAAGACGGCCCCACACACCCCCAAGACGGCCCAAGAGCGCTCCAAGAGAGCCCAAGACCGCCGTAAACAAACCCAAGACGGCCCAGGAGGCCTCCACGACGGCCCCAGAGACGCCCAAGAGGCGTCCAAGGATGGCCCCAAGAGGCGAAAACCATTGCTTTCCCACAGAACAACGCTCACTTTTAGCATGCGCTGCTTGTCGGGAATATGGCGCAGAAGCTGGCTCCAGGTCCCCACGACCGCCCTAAGACGGCCCAAGAGGCCCCCAAGACGCACGAAAACCGACCCGAGAGGGCGTCAAGAGAGCCCAAGAGACGCCCAAAACGGCCCCAGGGCGACACCAAGAGGCTCCGAGGACGGCCCAAGGTATCCCCAAGACGCTCCGAGAGCGCTCCACGACAAGCCAAGACTGCCTCTTGCGGCGCCAAGACGGCCCCAGAGACGCCGAAGAGGCTTCCCAGGAGAGCCCCAGGAGGCCACAATTATCGCTTTCCCGACGGAAGCCGTGCACATGTCAGCATCTCCGGCTTTCCAGGTTTGATGGCGTAGACCGGCCCAAGAGGCCCCCAACACCGCCCCAAGACGGCCCAGGAGGCTCCCACAGGGGACCCAAGATGGCCCAAGAGGCGCCCAAGACGGCCCCACAGGACCCCAAGCCAGGCCCAAGAGGGGGCCAAAGAACGAGGAAAAACCCTGACATTCCGAGCCCTGGGCCCCATACGCCCACACAAGGCCCCAAGACCCCCCCCAAGGGAACGCCAAGAGGTCCCCAGAGGCCCCCAAGAAGCCCAAAGCAAGCCCCACGAGGCCCCAAGACGGCCCCCAAGAGGTCCCAAAGCTGCCTCCAAGAGGGACCCCAGAGGCCTCTGAGCCATTACCCAGGCACAGGCACGGTGGCGGATGACGGGAAGCGCCTCCGGCGTGCACCGTTGGTTCTGGGGCTTCATTTTCTCTAACTAAGGGCCACCGATTCCATCCCGGACCTCGCTGGCGGATGACGGGAAGCGCCTCCGGCGTGCACCGTTGGTTCTGGGGCTCAATTTTCTCTAACTAAGGGGTGCGCGCCGCACCGGGGAACTCGCTGGCGGATGACGGGAAGCGTCTTCGAGGTACGAGAAGCAAGCGGGACGTTCTGGCTGAATCCTTGAGTAAATATATCTTTTCTTTAACTATATGGGTTGCCGCGCTGCACGGGAATTTTCGTTGGCGGATGACGGGAAGCGTCTTCGAGGTACGAGAAGCAAGCGGGACGTTCTGGCTGAATCCTTGAGTAAATATATATATATATATCTTTATATCTATGGGTTGCCGCGCTGCACGGGGATATTTCGTTGGCGGATTCCCCAAAATGGCCATTTCGCTCGAGACATCCTCAACAAATCGAGGTGTGGTCTGCCGTGCTCCTGTGTGGTCTGCCGTGCTCCTGTGGTCTGCCGTGCTCCCCACAGGAGCACGGCAGACCGCGCGCAGGAACCGAGAGGAGCACGGCAGACCAAGACGAGGAGCACGGCAGACCAGGCACTGAAACCGAGAGGAGCACGGCAGACCAAGACGAGGAGCACGGCAGACCAGGCACCAAGAGCGCCCTCAAGACGACGGAAAGGATGACCAAGACGAGGAGCACGGCAGACCAAGACGAGGAGCACGGCAGACTATGCCCTAAGAGTGCC